AGACTAATAATATGCATCAACTTTTAAATTAAGAAATAAAAAAAACTCTTATATTAATATATTTGACCAAAAGAGTATTAAATCTTTAATGTTAATTTGATTTTATTAAAAAGATTCTACAATTTAGTCAAAAATGAATTCTATACTGAATTAATATAAAACAGTAGCAAAAGAAAGATTTAAAAGATGAACATTAAAATGAACAGTTTACGGTTGATATTTATAGATACGTTCACATTTACCTGTGGATCTATGCCTGTAAAGTCCTTCATTAAGATGAACAATCTACGGCTATTAAATTGAGAAATAAAATGAGAAATAAAAAAGAAATCTTAGATTAATATATTTGACTAAGAGAGTATTAAGTCTTTATTGTTAAATTATATAATATAAGAATTGAATAAGAAACAATTAATAGAAGAAAACTATAGAGTTAGCAAAAATGTAATTTAAGTGTCATAATTTAGAATTAGTAAAAAACATTAATTATATATAAGAAAAAAATAGAATAATTTGAAATAGTATATTCTAAAAATAGCAATGAAAATCCTTTAAAAACGACGTTTAGAAAACTGGTGCATTAGAAATTAATATGAAATTAACAACATTAAATAGTAAGAAACTCGTGCTATCATACGATTACCGTCTGAATTCACATTATACGTCTCTCACTCTCATTTATCAAATTTGTATATATTTATTCAGTTAATTAACATTTATATAGTTACAAACATAGAAAGCGCATTGAACTCGTGTGTCTATTTATAAAAAAATATTTGTAATTTATTCCGATTTATAATAATAATTGAATAATAAATTGAATTTTTTTCGTTTATAAAAATATTTGTAACTTATTCTAGTTTAAAAAAATTATTGTAACTTATTTCCGTATATAAAAATATTTATATCAACATATAGACTTTTTCCCGTTTATAAGGGACTTGAACCCGTGTGATAATTTATAAAGTAAAATTTAATTTATTCATGTTAAAAATAATTGTTTTAATACTTCAATTTTTATCCTTTATAAAAATATTTGTAACTGATTCGCGTTTATAAAGTTATTCTAACTTTCTTTGCGTTTATAAACACATTGAACTCGTGTGTCCATTTATAAAAATATTTGTAAGTTATTCTCTTGTATAAAAATAATTGTAACTTATTCCGTTTATAGAAATAATTGTATCATTAAATTTTTACTTTTTATCATTAATTTTTTATGATTACCATTTATCATTAAATTTTCATGACTACCATTTAATATTTTTTATCATGATTACCATTGAAAAGATTCTCATAAATTTTAGTTATTTAATAAGTTTTAAAAAATTATAGAATTTCAATTGATTTTATTTTGTTTTATTAAACTTTTTATAAAAATCTAAATTATTTTAAAATATATCAATAGCATTCAAAATTATATAGTTTTTTCTTAAAATACTTTTTGAATGCTATTTAAAATTATATCAATATTATATATTTTATTTTCATTAATTCAATTTAATTGAATTTCAATGAATCGATTAATCTTTTGAAAATGATCTAATTGAATTAATTGATCAATTAACTCTTTGTAAAGTTATCATACGTATAATAGTTTCTTTAAAAAGTATTTTCTTAAGAAATATTCAAAATAAAGTATTTTAAGAAATATTAATAAAAATGAGACGATTTTTATTAACATTTCTTAAAAATTCATGCTTTTTAATAATATTTCATAAAAATACATGATTTTTTATATATTTTAGTAATAAATATTATTTAAACTATAATAATACTTACTTAAAATTTTAAACAAATCACAATTTTGCTAATATTTTTTAATAAATTTGTTTTAAAATGATAGAAAATTTTATCGATTTTAATGATTCACTTTATATATTTAATTTCAAGTTAATCATTACTCATTTTAGAATATTTATTTTTTTGAAAATTATTTTATCATTTTGCAATAAATCATTAATCATAATTTATATGATTTTAAGATACTTATAATCATAAATCATAATTATTTTATCAATTAATCATAATACATAATTTATAATTGCAATAATTCAAATTTTAAACTCAAATGTACTTTTCCATATTCCCAGGGACAGACCTTTTGAACCTTCATCATATATACATTTTCTTTAATTTGTATTTACAACACACTTTGTACAACTGATTCATTGTATTCTAAATTTACAAAAAATAGATAATGCATCTAAAAAAACATAAACAACAAATGATAGGAATAAATATAAATAAATAAACCGTGAATGAAACATTGGAATTGGAATTCAAATATAAATAAATTAACCGTGAATGAAACATTGGAATTGGAATTCAAATATAAATAAAATTCAAATATAAATAAAATAAATTAATAAATCAAATAAATAAAAAATAGTGTAAAATTATGATAGATTGACATGTCAACAAAATTAAATGTTTGAGTCGTTGATGTCTTTCACAGCTTCAATCGGTCGCGCCATTGATGTTACTATTTAGACCTGTTACAAAATCTGTATTAAAATGGACACAAAGAATCAAAATATGGGAATGAAAAAGAATTGGAAAATAATACGTAACCTTTTGAAAATAATGGAGAATGAAGAAGATTGAGGAGTGAAAGAGTAAGGATTTAGAATGACTATATATATAGGGTTTAGAATGCATGGGAAATTGTGATATCTTAGAATATCAAAATAATCCATTCTAATTCCAATAATATACATTTAATCTTGTAGTGTAATGATAAATAGTGGGTATTTTTAAATCATGCAATGAATAATATTCCATTTAATTATAATATATCTAATTTGGCAATTCTAATTCCTTCCTCATTAACCGTGAGTCAAACATTAGAGTTCAAATTCTGTAAAAAAAAAACATTGGAATTCAAATATAAATAAATTAACCGTGAATGAAACATTGGAATTGGAATTCAAATATAAATAAAATTCAAATATAAATAAAATAAATTAATAAATCAAATAAATAAAAAATAGTGTAAAATTATGATAGATTGACATGTCAACAAAATTAAATGCCAAATGAATATGGTAACAGCATAGTGTTGATTAGTCTATTATACCCTTGGAATAAGAAAAGTTATAACATCTAATCAAAAGGTTAGACTTGGAATTTCCAGGTACTTTACTTTTAATAGATTGATAATAGATAATAGATAGATATAACTTAGTTTCCCTTTTTTTGTATTTTGTAGTAATATATTATTGACACGTGTCTTATTTCTATCCATTCATTTTTTTTGTACATATTATATATATGTATCCATTTTTATGGATAGCTGAATATACAAGATTCATCATTTTCTAACTGTTTCATAACAAACTTCTTCTTGTATCTTCTTCTTTGATGGATCTTGATCATCTTTTCACCATTACTGTTATCAAATCTTCAGCTTATCTGAACATTGACAGAGAGAATTAGAGATCCAAAAATTTGATGGATCGAAGTTGATATAATGATCGATTGGATCGAATGCGACAGATCTTTGCATTCGATTATGACCACTCTTGATTTGATCCTAGAAGGTTACACAGTGAGGAATCAAAGACTAAACTTCAAATCATGGAAAATGCATGAATCAAAAGTCGATTCCCACAGACACCGCGACTATTCCATCTTGAAACCAAAAATTAAATGTAATCGATGAACTGAGAATCTCGAACTGGTGGTGTTGATCTTTGGTGCAACGATGCAAAATTGACCTTCAAGATTAACAACACTCCAACGTCATGTTAGTTTAAGATTCAATATAAATATAATGAAAAGTGAATATCAGAAAATGTACCTTATTTTTCGCGTGAACAATCTTTAATACCTTAAGTGAAATGAATTTAACTTGAAATGAATTTAACTTGAAATGAATTGAATCTTAATTATCCGGGCGAAAACATGGACATCCTCTAATTGAAAAGATTAGTAAAATTCTCTAAAATTTACAACAATGCTATGTTGCCACAAAATTGTGACACTATAATTTGCACCTCAAAATTTGTGTTTGTACATAATTATATTATATACCATGTGATACGGTGTAAGATTATGATGTAAGTTTTAGTGTCATAATAGCAATGCTAAAAAATTTAATAATGCTTCATATCTAAAGATAGATTTTATGAATAAGTTTGTCTTTCAATTGGAAAAACAATTTTAAAATTAAAAAACATTTATAAAATAAAATATTCAAAAACCATTTCCAAGACCAATCGGGAAGAAACCAGGAAAATAATTATAGTAGTAATCTACAATATAAGAAAAGTATAACTTTTCTCTTCAATTCCTTTGGTGGCGACACGTGCCTTTATTAGAAGACAAGAAATAATTTGCTTCAAGTTCTAATTTTTTTTTGCGTTTTGTTCCATTGAGTCATTAATATCAGCGATTTTGTGTCTTTCGTAACAGTTTCATGTTTTGTTTCTTACCCATATCAGTTATCGTTTATGGGTGCTGATTTTATTGAAGGAATTTGAATTTTTTTCTGTATGATTTATAATTGAGAATCTCCTTTTGCAGTTGTTGTTGTAGTTTTTGTATGGTTTATATATAATCCAATTTCGAAGGGCTAATATTATATGTATTATTTGCAGGTGATTTCTCATACACTCATGTAAGCATAACCCTTTCTCTATGTATGTTATTGTCGTTATTGAATACTTTCTCTCATGTTGGTCAATTGACTGGTACATATTAGTACAAATATAGGCTTATGAGGCAGATTAGAATGTGTAACGATTTGAAGCGCTTGATTTACTACCACTTTAACACTGGTCCTGTTGGGAAAGGACCAGGTTGTGAATTTTGGGCACCAATGTGGATGATTTGGTTATTCTTTCTTCGTGGTATTGTGCCCCTTCTTGAACGATGGCTTGGAAATTTAACGGCCTGGCAGTTTGAGGGACGCCACTCCAAATGAGTGGCGAAGACAAACACTAAGCAATGTGTTGAGAGTCATTTTGACTTAGAACTCCGAGCCGCTGTTATGCATGATGCGCATGATGCCATGCCAGGTAATAAATTCTACACATTCATATTTTTTATTTCATTCATTCTCCAAGTGACTTCTGCATTTATCTCTCTGTTTTTACTCATGTTATGGTGTTTTGGTCCCCTAACTGACAGAGGGTAGTAAGCAGAATAAGGCAAAAATCATATTGGAGCACATGAGTAATGCTTGAAGTTGCTCGAAGGCAAATGCCTGGAAGGTAATCTATTTGATTGTAATTGTACCTCATGGTTAATTTAGTTTTATTGCATATGAATTGGTAAAACTATAACTACATGTGTGTTTGAATTTATAGAGCACTTTATATGTCTAGATTTTTTTGTTTAATGTGGACATATTTAGTAAAAACTAAATATGGATTGGTTGAAAGCCTAATGCAACATTTACTCAGATAAATGTTGATGAGCAATAATTCAGGAGAAACCATAAGAAAACAATGGTTTATAATTGTTTTGTAATATGCTTCGCTCAAATTATAGTATGTAGATTACTATATAAACCGAAGCATAAGTTTGTTAGATATGAATAGAAATATCCATTTGTAACAAAGTTATTATCAGCTTTATAATAATCATTCTTTCTTCTTTAGACATTTCTTCATACAATAATTCATTGTTCATGCTATATAATTTCTCTTGTTCAACTTTAGTGAGTTGTGTTTCATATCATTATTAGAAGCCAAATTTCCGCTGCGACTCTAACAATTGGTATCAGAGCAAGACCATGATATCTCTGGGAGATGGATGCTTGATTCCGGAGCTTCACACCATATGTGCCCAAATACGAAGTGGTTTACTACCTACCAAAGCACAGATGGTGGTACAGTTTTAATGGGGAATAACCATGCCTGCAAAATATGGGGTATAGTACAATACGAATCAAGATGCATGATGGAGTGGTAAGGACTTTGATGAACGTGAGACATGTCCCTAATTTGCGGAAAAACCTTATTTCTCTTGGTGTATTAGAGGAAAACGGTTGCAAAATAATCTTGGAAAATGGAGGCTTAAAGGTTGTTCGTGGTTCGTTGGTTGTGATGAAGGGGGTTCGTCACAGAAATCTGTATTCTCTTATGGGGGAAACTGTCACTGGTGATTTGGCAGTTGGAATCAATAGAAGTAAAGACCAAACTGAATGTACGAGGATGTGGCACATGCGCCTTGGGCATATGTCTGAAAAGGGTCTATCACTGCTTGGTGAGAAAAGTTTGCTGAAGAACATGGAAAAGCCATGCATGGAATTTTGTGAACATTGTGTGTATGGAAAAGCACATAGGTTGCAGTTTTCTACAAGCAAGCATAAAAGCAGGGGAATATTAGACTACGTGCACACTGACGTTTGGGGTCCGGCTCCAGTTACTTCTAAGGGTGGTTCGAGGTACTTTGTTACATATGTTGATGATCATTCGAGGTATGCTTGGATTTACTTTCTTAAGCATAAGAATGAGGTATTTGATATTTTCAAGTGTTGGAAAGCAATGGTTGAGAACAGAACGGGTAAAAAGCTGAAAACTCTACGATCGGATAATGGTACAGAGTATACAGATGGAGCTTTCAAGAGTTTTTGTGATCAGGAAGGTATTGTTAGGCACTGGACGGTCAGAGGCACACCACAACAGAATGGAGTCGCGGAAAGGCTGAACCGTACACTTCTTGAGAAAGCGAGGTGTATGCGCTCTAATTCTGGATTAGGTCGAGAATGGTGGGCAGAGTCGGTTGCTACAACTTGCTATGTTGTAAACAGATCCCCACATTCGAGTTTAGGTGGAGACACGCCCTATAAGGTGTGGTCAGGTGAACATGCTGATTATGAAAAACTGAAAATCTTTGGATGCACGGCCTATTATCATGTCAAGAATAGTAAACTTGATAATAGAGCCAAGAAAGCTATCTTTCTAGGATATGCAACAGGGGTCAAAGGCTATCGCCTTTAAAGTATAGAAGATTCTAAGTTTGTGATTAGCAGGGATGTTACATTTGACGAAAAATCTATGGTAGCTTTGTCAAAAGCTATAAATCCTAACGATGGTGATGTGACGATATCAAATAAGCAAGTTATTGAGATAGAATCTGAAGACCAACCAGATTCTAGTCGTGGTCAGGTGGAGAATCCTATCGCTAGTGAAGACGAGGAAGAGGATGAACTTAATCATGAGGAGGTTCAGCAAGAAAATACACATGTGTTACAACAACAACAACAACAGGAATCTTTGGATACCACTAGGCCAAAGAGAAATTATAAACTAGTTCAAAAGTTTGGGTCAGACAAACCTCTGAGGTATTATGGGCAGGTTAACTTGGTGGAATATGCACTCTCAACTGAAGATGATGAGCCGGTCACCTTCAAGAAAACTATCAAAGACAAAGATAAAGAGATTTGGTTGGTTGATATGGAGGAAGAGATGCAATCTCTTCACAAGAACAAGACATGGGAGGTGGTCCCATTGCCCCGGGGAAAGACTGCTATTGGTTGTAAATGGGTGTATAAAAGAAAAGAAGATCATACTAAGTCATGCGGTACAAGATATAAGGCTAGGCTAGTGGCCAAAGGGTTTGCACAAAAGGAAGGAGTTGATTACAACGAGATATTTTCTCTGGTGGTGAAACATACTTCTATCCGGGTGCTATTAAGTTTAGTAGCTCATGGTGATCTTGAGCTAGAACAACTAGACGTGAAGACAGCCTTCTTGCATGGAGACTTAGATGAAGAAATATATATGTATCAACCTGAGGGTTACAAGGTTGAGGGTAAAGAGAGTCAGGTATGTCGCTTGAGAAAATCACTTTACGGATTGAAACAATCTCCTAGACAATGGTACAAGCGATTTGATTCTTTCATGATAAAACAAGGTTTCTCTAGAAGTAGTTATGACAGTTGTGTCTATATTCAGAAGCTTCATGGAGGTGATTATATCTATCTATTATTATATGTCGATGACATGCTTATTGCTTCAAAAAGCAAGGTGGAGATAGATAAGATGAAGTCTAAACTTGGTAAAGAGTTTGAGACGAAGGATTTGGGCGCTGCAAAGAAAATATTGGGTATGGAGATTAGAAGAGAGCGGACAAACCGAAAACTGTTTTTGAGTCAAAAGGGCTATTTAGAGCGAGTTGTTGAAAGGTTTGTAATGAAAGGTGCTAAGTCGGTGGTTACTCCATTAGCTCCACATTTTAGGCTTTTTGGTAATCAGTCTCCCACTACTGCAGAAGATAAGGCAAACATGGAAAAGGTACCTTATGCTAGTGCAGTTGGCAGTTTGATGTAGGCTATGGTGTGTACACGTCTGGATATTTCACAAGCGGTAAGTATTGTTAGTAGATTCATGGCGAATCTGGGAAAGGCACACTGGGAAGCGGGGAAATGGATTTTGAGGTACTTAAAGGGTACCATTGACACATGTTTGTGTTTTGGTGGAGATACATGTCAAATAAGCGGGTTTGTTGATTTAGATTATGCTGGTGATCTAGATAGACGACGATCTACAACTGGTTATGTGTTTCAAATACACGGGGCTCCAGTTAGTTGGCGATCGATGTTACAGTCTACAGTGGCACTCTCTACTACAGAAGCCGAGTACATGGCAGTAGCAGAAGGAGTGAAGGAAGCATTATGGCTGAGGGGTCTTCTAGATGATTTCGGTATGAAACAAGAACATGTGAAACTGAGGTGTGATAGTCAAAGTGCGCTTCATTTGGCTAAGAATCAGGTTCATTTTGTACGGGATGTCGTAGAGGAAGGTCATATTTCTCTTACGAAGGTACATACTGATCAGAATCCAGCGCACATGTTAACCAAAGTTGTGTCAGGTAGCAAGTTTCAACACTGTTTGAACTTGCTAAGTTGTATTCCATATTCGTCCAAAATTTGAATATTTCAAATTATGAACGAGGTGGAGAATTGTGGACATATTTAGTAAAAACTAAATATGGATTGGTTGAAAGCCTAATGCAACATTTACTCAGATAAATGTTGATGAACAATAATTCAGGAGAAACCATAGGAAAACAATGGTTTATAATTGTTTTGTAATATGCTTCGTTCAAATTGTAGTATGTAGATTACTATATAAACCGAAGCATAAATTTGTTAGATATGAATAGAAATATCCATTTGTAATAAAGTTATTATCAGCTTTATAATAATCATTCTTTCTTCTTTAGACATTTCTTCATACAATAATTCATTGTTCATGCTATATAATTTCTCTTGTTCAACTTTAGTGAATTGTGTTTCATATCATTATTAGAAGCCAAATTTCCGCTACGACTCTAACATTTACTGCGACTCAATTAAAAATTAGACGATTGTTTCCAATTTGTTTCTGAAATTAAATTCAGTCATTGTATCCAGAAAAAGGTTATTTTGGATTTTAAATTCTTACCGGTTTCCTTTTGAATTTGGTTCATTCATGGCTTTATTGTTTACTTACTTACAGTGGCAACATGTAGGTTTCTTCTCTTCCTGTTCCTGTAGAGAACATGGTCCTTCAATATGTGAAAGCAAAAGGAGATTGGTGGACAAATGTTGCTCATTATAATTGCGAGCGTATAAGAAGAGGTGCAACTGTCGATAAGACTGTTTGTCGCAAGAATTCTAGAAAAGTCTAAAGGAACTGAAACTCTGATTGTGGTGGATTTCTTTGGAACTTCTTGTGGAAGTTGCAGGTGTATAGAACATGGTTTTGCAAAGTTGTGCAAGATATCGGGTATCCATGATGCAATAATTAATCTATCATCATTTTCAAATAGTATAACTTGATATTCTCATGCGTAAGGTAACTTGGTATCATTCTGTTGTTGGATTTTAAACTTTTAACAGGTAAGGGACTCTTAAAAGGAATAGGTTTCTTGGACTTCATATACTCCGGGTCTAATGCTCTCAATTAGACGTCGAACGTTTTTGGACCGTGGTTAGAATTGCAGTAGCATTCTTTCCAATGCCGGTGAAGTGATCACTAGCAATGACTTTTTCTTCTCTGATCACGTTGATTTTATAGTTAGGGCTTCATTGAAACTGTATTTTTTCATGTCTCGTATCTTTCCAGTTGTTGAATTGTCATATGCTATTGCAGATCGCATGGCATTGGAACTTTGTACAACATGGCTCACTTGGACATGGAGCTTGTAAGTTACTTTGTACTATGTTCCATGTTTTTTTCAGGTGATGTTAAATAAACACAAGCTATTTGGAAAAATGGATCGTCTCGCCGAACTTTATGATAACATGGTTTTTCTTCTTCATTTAGGTTTGCGATATATCTGCTATTGAGAAAAGAACAGAATTCAAAGGGCGTTTCTTGTGAAATATCTGTGCAGATAAAGTGGCTTCGGTCGTTGTTTTCGTTTTTTTGATTGATGTATGCTTGTTTTGAGTAAAGATAAGAGGTTTTTAATATCATGGATTTAATTTTAACCATACTGACTTTGATGTTGCTTGATTTGCAGGGTTACTATGTTTAATGTTGAGAGGAGAGATCAAGACACGAGGATTATCATCAGTTCTTCTATAAGGTCAGTTTATTACTATTAATAGTGAACACATTATAAGCAATAGGACTTGAGATTCTCCAATGTGTTATACGTAGTTTCAATGATTTTTCACTACAAGCAAGATGCTAATATGTTAGATTGTTTTACTTGCATTTATAGCAAATTTTACTAGCATAAGATGCATTCCATAAGTCCACTCCCATACTAAGATTAGTTGCTCGCATCAAGAAAACATGGTTTCTAGAATCAGGTGATTGAGAAATGGGTCTAGCAGTATTGTTATATGCATTGCGACTTTGCCAAATTGGTATGGTTCTCCCCTTCTCTTGGCATCCAGATACAAACTAACATAGCATTTTGGGGTTTTAAAGAATGATATCCGTATTGATATCTTGATGGTTCGACTTTATCGTTTTCCCCTTTTTGAATCACATCTTGACGGTCAATTGTACCTAAGCTCAGTAATGTGATTCAATAGATATGTAATGTCTATGTATGTATTTGTATATGTATTCTTTGTGGAATCGACATTTCAGATGGAATGCATGTCAAGTGCTTGACAATATGTTCGACCCATGAGAATCTTTGGGAGTTGGATATGTTTGAATACAGATGGCTTCATTAAGTGTATTGTTTCCTTTCATTTAGTTACAGTGACAAGAAATTGACTTTCAAGAGGTATATGATCTTATAATTGGAAATTGTTCTTTTAGTGTCTAATATTACAGCCTTTAGTTTGATATCGAAATACATGATTTTGTTTGCAAGCTGATATATTTTAGTTTTGATTAGTTCAACTCTGGATTCAAGAACTTTCTACATCTGTCGCTCAGTGAACCTACTTCAGCTGGTTACAATTATTTAGTTACACTAATTTTCAGATCAGTAGAACTCTATAAAAGCTCTAGGTTGGTTTAGTTATACGTGGTTGAACATTCATTTTCATCACTGCAATTTCATTCAGTTTCTCTTCTGTCAAAATTCTAACATGGTGTCTAGCATTGGCTCAAACTCTAATTTGAAGAATATTGCTATTGGTGTTATATTTATTGTGATGCTCAAATCTATGATGGATTAATACTTGGCTTTTTGGTAGTTCTTACCGCAAGACAGGGTTTGTGAGTTTGCAAAGTTAACTCCTGTGCAACTTTTGGAAGAGACCGAAAAGGCTGTTGGTGATCCACAACTTCCAGAGCAACATCGTACACTAATTGATAAAAGTCGTGCATTGAAGCATGTCGAGCTGGTAAGTTTACCCTTTACTAAGAAATGATAGAAATCTCCTAAATCGTAGTTGGTCGATAACTTCAGGATCGGTTTACTATTTTTGTTTCAGTCTCTTGAGAAAAATGAAGCAACTTTAAATCAGTTGAAGGAACGTAATGCTGAATTAGAGAAGGATGTTGAACGTGTTCGTCAAAGAGACGAACTTCTTGCCAAGGTTAGATATTAAGCTTTGTGTATAAGCCAAGCAATGTAGACTCCTTTGTGTTGATGTCTATTCTTTTCCTATTATGATTAGTTCATCCTTTATTTTTCTCATTTAGGAGGTTTTATGTTCCTCCTGTAGTGAAAATTCAGTCTTAATGTATTTTTTTTTAAAGGAAAAGATGAAAAAATATGCATGTATCTGTTTTGTAGGCCGAATCAATGAAAAAGAAATTTCCATAGCTGAAATGTGATATGAAGCAGGAATAGTATCGTGAAGCTAAGGAGTGTGAAAAAATCGCTGCAAAGGAGTTTGAAAAGGCTGCAAAATTATTAAATGAAGTTAAAGAGCCTATTAAGTATGTGTCTTTTCTTACTTTGCCAAAGTATATAGTAGGGTCATTTATCTCAAGAGCTATGGATCACTTGAAGAGATGCTAAGAAACTTATTTGATTGGTGTTAATCACTTAGATTGTTGTTTGAGAAGGTGTCAAATTTTAGTTCAAATAACACAATTGTTTAAAGTTTTATGTATGTTAATGAGAACGACATGTTTCTACTGTGTGTTTGATTGGATGTATGGTGAATGAATTAGGTGGGAAAATGGTGGGTCACTTTTCAAATCCAAGATCCGATTCATTTGAAGAGAAAAATGGAGTCAAGTTGTCGAGTTATAAGGGTGACAATGTGAACGGAGACACATTTGATGCAATATCTAGAACTCCAGATCCACACAGAATGGTAAGGGTCAACTGTCAGTCTGGCTACTCTCAATCTCTTATGGACGTTTGCTACTGGAGGTTATGCTGCCATGCAAAGGGTCAAGTATGCCAAGGAGTACTACGGTTAGTTCGGCGCATAAATTTCCTGTTCCAGTTAATCCAATGCTTCCACAACCTCTTCCTGGATTACATGAAAGGAAACATTGTAGTAGTAACTCTTCAGATGATGAAAGTCCTTCACCTTAGCTTATAAATCATTTATGTTTATGTAGAATATATAGAGAAAATTAGTATGAATATAATATGTATTATATAATGTTATTATAGTAGTAGCTTGTAAATAGAGCTTTTCAATTGGAGAGAACCTTGCAATATTGTTTTTGTATTTTCTGTGATTAGTTTTTCCATTTCTTTATCAATGAAAAATAGAAAATAAAAAAATAGAAACAATGTTTCATTTCTAAGAGGGTGGAATTGTTTTATTTCTATTCTATGTGTGCAAGGGGCTCGAGGTTTTTAATCAAAATAATGTTATGCCTTCTAAAATTTATATTAAAACCATCATCTCAATACCAACTGGAATGCAAAGTATTATTTCATGTTGAAATGAGAAATCTCTGTAGAAAAAAATATCTGAAAGAAACTGTTTTGTTTTACATATGAACACATGAAGCATTGATTTATATATTCCAAACCAAAATATATCCCCATTTCAATTCCATTGTGGATAATTACTCAATGGTTGATAAACAAAAATAACTAAATAATCGTGATCTGTGCCTAAAACAAAAATTGAAAATTTTCAGTATGTGGTTAGGAAAATTGATAGAGGCACCTAATGTTTTGAATGGTTGAAATAAAGGTGTACCCTTTGAGCATTAATGAATTCCAAATAGAAATATCATGATTTAATTTTACGCTTCATTTTCACCACACACCTGTATTGTACGTACTGGAATGATATTCATGATTTTGAGGTACTATATTCCTGTAGCTATTTGTCTATGACAATCTTGGTTTTTTTTTTAACATTTTCAATCTATAACATTAAAACTTCCTCATGTAACATGAAAACTTAGCCTGTCTCACTTGAACTTTTTAACATTGCCATGATTCTTCGGATTCCTTAGCTATAGTTTTTCTTGCTATTTAATGGGTAATCGTAAGATGACGATCATTTACAGGGTCTCTACAGAAAAATTTCAGGGATTTTGAAGTTTCCGTCAGCTGAAACTGATTCTGAAGGTAATATTATTTTGATGCTTGGTTCCCTTATGTCCATGTATCATCAAAGAGATTGAATAGATTTTTGTTTCAAATCGGACTTATGGCAAATGATGAAAACAACGCCGAACGTGGCAGGAAAGTTTGCTTCATGGCACAACGAAACAGGTGATTCAAGAGGTAAAATATCTAAGGCAGGAACTCTGCACACAACGTATTCGAGGAAATGCCAAAGTGAAAATCACGACCATTCCTCGAGGGCTCAAAAGGAAACAAAATTGGGGCTTTGGAAGACGTCAGCCAGGCTATCGTCAAAATGCACTCATATATTCGGATCATATCGTCAACACCTTCATTCATAGATAAGCCACATATACTCACTCTATTGTTTAAATGTTTGGCACATTTACGTAATGTGACTCCTTTAAGAGCGTAACATCAGAAGCATTCCGAAATCGGCCTAATTAATTTAATATAATTGTCAGAATGGTGCAACAGCTGTACCAAACATCAATGATATGTTGATGCCAATTTCTAAGATTCTGCAAGCTAGGATTGCAGCTTCCCCAACTTAAGGTGTTTATGAAAGGTCCGACCACAACAGAATCTGGTTAACTGGTTGGTTGTAGATCTTGGCAAAGTACCAGCTGAAGTAGCCGGGAATAGAATTCGGACAGTATCAAGGCAGAGACTCTCGGTGCTACCATTGAAAGATAAGTTATATTACATGTTCTATTCTTCCATCATAGTCAACTATGGTTTATTTATAATGCTTATTGTTATGATTGTCGCGATAAAACTTGAGAAGCGGGCATTATGGCTTTATGTTTCACCAGTTCAAACTATAACATCACTGAAATTACCAATAAGATCCTTCCTTTTCTTATTAATCTCATACTTGGTGTTTACATTTATGTTTGTGCTGTTTTGAATGTTTCAACGGTATTCAGATTCCAAAATAGATCATTCTTATCATTGCACTTTGAGTATATCCCATTGTCAACGCCTTTTGATTATGTTATTCGGTTCATGGTTCCAACAAGGATGTTGGATCTAAGGCATTTCAAGTTATTGATTATTTCTTACAGATAGCAAAGCAACATCATAAAAAGTAAAACATAGCAGAGGTTACTAAAGGGACAAGCACGAGAAGCTCATCAATTCCAGAAAATGCAAGTTTGCTTGGATATGTATCACAATATAGGATATAGCTGCATCATTGATAAAAAGAAGTGATATAGTGGCTCTCAGCGCGTGTAGTCACATTGGATTGGTGGAGGAAGGTTGGTTGTTATATAAATCCATGGAAACAAAACACGGAATTCCACGGGTAAGAGAGCACTTCTCTTGCATGGTTGATTAGCTTGCTCGCGCCGGATACTTGCATGAAGCAGAGACTTTTATTCAAAAATCTGAATTTGACCCCGACATTACTACTTGGAAGACTCTACTTACTGCTTGTAAAACTCATAATAATCATGTTGACATTGTAGAAAGAGCTGCAAAAAATATACTAAAACTCGACCCTTCAAATTCTGATTTAATGGTAATGCTTTCTAATATACATGCTTCTGCTGATAATTGGAAAGACATTGCTAAACTAAGGAACTTGATGAAACAAATGGGTGTAGAAAAGATACCTGGTCAAAGCTGGACAAAAGTTAAGGATGAGATGCATATATTCTTCTCTGAAGATAGCTCACATCCACAAAGGAGCAACATTTACACAATGCTTGAAGAGTTATGGCTGCAGGTGCTAGATGATGGCTATGATCCTTGCCATAGGTTAGAGATTAGCATTTGGTAGTTAAAAAGTTGAAAATTTATAGTCGGGTTAGAACTACAGCTTTCTGTAACAAAAAAGTTGATCCAAGAATGTTATCAAGTATGTCAATTGATGTTAATCCATTAGAAAATCTTCCTGTGGGTCCTGTTGGAAAGTCGATGCCATATAGTTTGTAATTAAATTTTGAAAGTGTAACAAGATTATTGTTGTTTCCACTATCGAATAGAGTCTCCGAAAATAAAAAGACATGGCACTTGCGATTTTCCATTCACACATTGTTGCATGTAGCATGCACCCAAGAAAAGAAGAGGAAAAATCAACAATGTTTTAGTCTCAAAAGCCATTTAATTATTTATGAATACAAAAATTATATTTAATCTATAGTAATAACTAAAATAATGTAGGAAAATGATACGAGTATAAATCAAACATAAGATGAAATGAAGGTATATATATATATATATATATATATATATATATATATATATATATATATATATATATATATATATATATATATATATATATATATATATATATATATATATATATATATATATATATATATATATATATATATATATATATATATATATATATATATATATATATATATATATATATATATATATATATATATATAGGGTTTTTGAATCCAATTTCAACAATAAATATTAGAGAAAACAAGAAATGCAATTATAGTGTAAAACATTTTTACACTATCATGTATCACAATAAAATATTTTTATTTTTAAAATATTGAAATGACATGATAAGTGTAAAAATTTTAATCGGTTGTATTTGTAAAATTGTTATATGTTGATCTCTTTAAATTTAAAATATTAATAAAACATAGATTTGTGTGAATCATACAGATAACCGTGCAAACACATGAGTGTCCTACTAGATTGAATATTAACTAGAACATGAAATTATTGATCAAAATATTTAATATTAACGGAAATTTGAAGTTACTGATCAAAATATTCAATATTAAAAGGAACATGAAGTTACTGATAAAAATATTGAATATTAACGGGAACGTAAAGTTGCTGATCAAAATATTGAATATTAACGCGAATACAAAATTACTGATCAAAATTTTTAATATTAACGGGAACACGAAATTACGGATCAAAATTTTGAATATTAACGGGAACATGAAGTTACTAATCAAAAGATTGAATATTAACGAGAACATGAAATTACCGATCAAATTATTGAATATTAACGAAAACAAGAAGTTACTGATCAAAATATATTAATGAAAACATGAAGTTATTGATCAAAATATTGAATATTAACAGAAATATAAAATTACTGATCAAAATATTAAATATTAACAGAAACATAAAACTACTGATCAAAATATTGAATATTAACGGGAACACGAAGTTATTGATCAAAATATTAAATATTAACGGAAACATCTAGTTACTGATCAAAATATTGAAATATTAACGGAAAAATAAAATTACTGATCAAAATATTAAATATTAACGAGAACATGAAATTATTGATCAAAATATTAAATATTAACGAGAATATTAAGTTACAAGTTACATTTTTCTATTAATTATACACTCAATTAATTTTTTTTCCAAGTTTTATGAACAAAAACTATTTTTAAACTTCATTTCATCATAAAAATAATATAATGAATACCATCAAATTTGAGTCCATATAAAAACCAATAATTTTTATAAAATTTGAAACACTTCTATGTGTGGTTTTACCAATAATAAATTATTATTTTAAAATTATTATTATTTCCTTTTATTTTCTAATTTTTACTCCACATTAATTCTTTAATTTTTTTATTATTATATTTTAATTTTATTTATATTTTTATATAATATAATAACTATTATTAAATATTTTATTTTAGTTCAAATTTATTTTTAAATTTAAATGCAAATAACACAACAACGGTACCCATGGGAACACGGTTTTCCACTTAGCCATGAAACTTCAAAGTCTTTGACCTGGAAGCTCTTTCGTTTTTTACGATGATAAAACCAAGATTTTGATTGTGGTTTTTTCGATTATCACCATCACCATTCATCAAATCACATAGTACCAAATTGTATAAGGAAACAGAGAAAAAAAACCAAAACAAAAGATGAATCAAAACGAGATTAACCAAGCTTCCTTAACCACTTCTCGTTTGTCAGCACTTGCAAAACCCTTCACTTTCAACCGCTCTTCTTCTTTATCACCTAAACCCTCTGTCAATTCCTTCAATCATTGTGATAATGATGATAATGATGATGACCCTTTTAGTCCCTTGCTTGATTCTTTTTGGAAAAGTAACCTCAGTTCAAAGGGTCGCTCCGTGTCTTTGAATGGTACTGTCAAAACTACAACTTTGCCAGATGAAGGGGGTTCGCGTGGAATTTCACTTTTTGAAGGGAACCCTTTTCAGGAATTGGCTAAAAATGGCGACTTTGATGTGATTAATTGGACACAATTTGAAGTTGGCAGTTCAGCTGGTGATGTGAGCATGTGTAAGAAAAGTAGTTGTTTTGTGTCTTGTTAAATTTTTCTGCAATTTTAATTTCATATATCTGTCTTATTGATAGTTCAGCCATGAATTATTTAGGTCTAAAAAAATTAATATTGTGAAAATCTAAGTCCCACGTTGGTACTTAGACTGAGTTTATATAGAGAGACACCCGTCCCCTTAGAATCTGGTTTTAAAAGATGGCGATGTTTATCCACAATTCTTAAGATGGTTATAGTGTCTCGTTTAAGATCTGTTGGACCACCTGCTGTTAGATTTTCGCTATCGAGTAACTTACTATTTATATTCACGCTCCAGTTGTTTAATCCTGGACGTAACATGGTGTGTTAAGAGTCCGACATCGGACAATAACCTGAATATGTGTTTAAAATAAATGAGGGCAATCCTCACCCATCATTTATATCAGCACACCAAATCCAATAGTATGAGGTGGTGTATTGAGAAAATCTCAAGTCATATATTGGTTAGACATAAAACCTCTAAAGAAATTATATTCTTTATATTGCTGCACTCCATCTTAAAACTGGTTACTTGAAAGGTAAGGAAGTTAATTGTTTATTTCACCCTATGTTGACATGGACATCTAAGATGAAAATAAAATTACTCTTTTTATTGGTTTCTATTTTTGAAACTATTTTGAAGATTAACTATATTCATGTGTGTTAGTGTTTGTGCTTATACTGTGGTAAATTGGTAATCCTTTGTATCTATCACATAAAGAAATTTACAGTGTTGATAAGTTCTGGAAATGTTTTAGCTACGACTAAACTCTTGTCTGTAAATTTCGATTCTAGCGTCTCATCCCTACAAATCTCACGCTTGAGGGACAATGTATATTCTGGTCTCTCATCTAAAGCATCTCGCCCTTACAGACCTCATGTTTGAGGGGACTGTGGTGGACATTCCGGTACTACACCTAAAGCAACTAGGCTGGAACCGAACCCGGACATAATGACCCGCCCGGACATAATTTGTTCACGGCAAAGGACTAGGCCATATCACTCCTAATGGGCCAGGCCGAGAAGGCCGGGCCAGGGCCAAATGCAACTCACTTCTAATCAATATCCATTATACATGCAAGACAGAGCATTTAAGCCATTGAATAGCCTTCTTGGGCAAGGAAACATGAGACTTGATTCCCTTTATTTCTTTCAACTAGGCAAGTAGACATATCTCATAATGACAAATAAATCAGTCATAAAGACTCAGACCAGAGAAGGCCTTATATAAACTAGCAATCACCAAGAATAAAGGACACATTTTTCATACCATCCATACTCAGATAAACATTGCGATTATGGATGTCCTAGCACCAGTAGAGTTATCGAATTAGCGTACCCATAGAGTACATTGTCTTTGTTGTTGCAGTTATGCTCCCATATCTAGTATTATTGTCATACTGTGAATTGATCCAGTTATGCAGCTGCAGGGGCATAAAAAACTTGGCTCCCATTTGGGATTGATCTCTGTTTTTTTTTTGTTTGAATTTTTACTTAGCGTTTATGACTAGTTTTGACTTCATGTTTCATATAAAATTTTATTTAGAATACAAAATAGGACACACAATTGAGAAAACTATGGAATGGTTTGTACAGTTAAGCCGGCCGTCGACGTGTTGAATCATCATCTTACAGTGACCGATGGCATTTTCGAAAAAAGCACTGGTATAATTGCTGGAAAAGACATTTTATCGAATTCTGAAGGGACAAAACAATCTTCTGATGAGTCTAGCTCCTTTCTTAAGGCACAAAACAAGATTACTCCACTCAAGACATCACGTGATATATCTTCTGCTAAAAGCGCTCCTCAAAATCAGCTCTCATATAATCTCGGTGATTGTGACACTGATGTGGATTCTCCTTGTTGGAAGGGAACCAAAGCTGTTGGTTTATTTCCATCAGAAATTCCACAATCTGTAGAACTTCATCATGTTGAGAAAGCAACAGAAAAACATAACACTTTAAATCCTCGAGCTCCACAGTTCTTTCCTCGTATCGGATATGTTACGGATGATTTTCTGTCTTCAAACTCTGGTGTGTTTGTAACTACTAATTTGTTGACGGGAGAGGACATACTCATGAAAACTGTATCAGCAGAATCCCTAGTAGAGTTGAATAAGGGAGAGCTTCGGTATTCAACCAACATCAGCGGAATAGAAAAGGCGTTTAATATGTTTAATAATCCAGGAAGTAGCTCTGTGGATCCTATGCTAAATTCACATTTTACAATGACTCATCCTTCTTCTAAAAAAGATTTCACGACTTCAAAAGGAAAAGATGTAACTATAGCTGATGTCAATGACTATGTGAAGGGAGCTGAAAATCCAAGGGCTAGTAGGTCAACAATGAGCGATGTTTTCCCTACAAAGGGTCATTCTTCAATATCACATACATCATCATCTCAAGTCAATGTTTATACCGATCTTCTAAAAACATTTGAAGGTTTCTCCAAATCTTTAATCGAATCTCCAAATCCGGATGCTAAGACAATGGTTGGCGCAATGCATGTTCTTTCAGAATTGCTGGCACAAACCTGTGTAGGCGGAGTAGATTCATATGGTGAACATGATCTCAGTATGACTACAATCCCGCAAATAATCAATAATCTGAATGATTTTCATGCAAAAGTAGGTGGTGAAAGGATTTCAATTTCAACCCTTGATTCAACTCCTGCAAATAGTTCTTTCTGTCTTGATAGTTCATTAAAGCTTACCAAGGTATGTATGAATCTATATTTTCATTTTCTGCTCGATATTTATTATTCTGGAAACTGATATGTAGCATGCACATATCTACATTCAAGGGACTCGAAATGGAAAATGTAGAGACCATTACTGTTCCACACCAGCTCTATCCGCAAAATGATTATGTTGGAAGAAATACGGTTTCTAATGTGATTGGTCCGAGTGAACTGAGTTCTTTTGCTTCTAGCAGCGGAGGAGGCACCAAGAAAAGCAACGAAACTGGTCAGGTATCGATATGGCTGCAATAGTAACTAGAATCAAATATGGTTTTATGTTATCTAAAATCCGAAATAAAATCTATGCACTCTTGTAGGTTCAGGTCATTCGGAGAAGTCTTGGGAAAAATCTGGATTTTGACAAACAAATGCCCCCAGAGGCATTGTTGTTTTGGAATTTATGGCTTGATTCTGAAGCGGAGCGTTGTTACAGAAAATTTAAAATTTATCATTGGCTTATGGAAGCTGGCGTGGATGTAAATTGCAAAAATGTTGCGGTATTTCCCTCTGCCTTAAAATACTATATATAGCAACCTTATATATCCTTCTTAGAGATTGTTTAGATTGACTTATTTGAACTTATTTACGGATGAAAGCATTTGGGAGACTGTTTAAGACAACTTATGAAAACAACATATGACATGTTCATAAGATGTTAAAACCTCTTAGCAACTGTTGTTGTAAGCGTACTAGATTGTGTATTTCTATTTTCAGGAATTGTGGAGGTGACACTTGCGGTGCTTAGTAGTTTGTAGATTTGCTAAGATACATAATAGAAGCTGTAAACATCGGAGATATCATACATATTCACAATCGACTAATTCTTGGACGAATTTCTACTTGTACAAATGGAGCTGATTCATGTGAATCCAACGGATCTGGACTGCAATGAAGAGGAAGAAAATGTCGTACTACGGTCTCACTTAATTTATTTTCTTCTTATGGTTTGTGTTAAATTTGGCAGAAACATCAAATATGTATAATCAACTAACCAAATCTAGCTATTCAAATGTTAAAAACTTGTTTTGGAATTGGAAGATGCTTATTTCTGTTGTTTATCTCATGTCATGAGGTATGAGAAAAAGGAAAATAGGAAATGAGTTTTGTCATGTTAAATTTCACTTGATTTGATAATATGAAGTGATGTTAGAACAACTTGTGAATGGAAAGGTGTCATTTTGCTAGTTAGTAACGCATAAGATTTTAGCTGAATAAGGTATGAATGAATGATACACGAAACCTTGTCAGTAAACTGTCATGTGTATCATCTTTTATCATCTGTTGAAAGTCAAATTAATTCTCATTGTATCGCGTAATTTTTAATAAATGTATTTAGTAAAGTAAATATTTAGGTATGTTTATATTAGCTGCCTTAATCAAATAGTCATAAAAACGAGTTACCGACCGGATATTTGAACCATATGTTAAGTTATATATAGGAAAGTAATTTTTTAATTTGTTAATAAATAAATATGAATATGAATATAATTACAGGATTTACGGTTTGTTTGTTAATATATGAGAGATGAGATTTCAGGAATACTTAAATCTATAAGATAAAAATCGTCTTTTGGCAACAAAAATATAGAGACAAGTGACTGACACCTATTGGTTTGTAATTCTTTCTCAATCGATATTCTTAATGTCTTGAATACTCTTTAGATTGAGAGTTGTTTGTGTACGGTCTATTTGTGACTATAGCCTATATATAGGGTGATGACCAATTAGAATCTTCATTATTACAAAATAGATCATCGTGACATCTATTAACATTTAAGCTCATACCTAATTAATTAATTAATTAATTAATTAATTATTCTTTTAAATAGAGATCTAATTAGCTTTTTTTTTTAATTTTATTTAACCACTTAATTAATTAAGGCTCTTAATTTTGATAAATAACTAATATATTTATATAAATATATTTACTCACATATAAATATATTTACTCACATAATAAATTTAACCAATGAATATGGTTGTTTAACTCTAATGATGAATATCATATCAAAGATATTTATCGAGTGCTTACCTTGGATTTGGAGGTTGACTTTAGAGTCTTTGTTAACAGTGTTTGGAGCAAATTAGTTCCGTTGAAAGTTTACTCGTTGGCATGGAGAATATATTGTATTAGACTTATGAAGAAAGACAACTTGAACCAACGTGGGATCATTAACGATAATTCTTTAAGATGTTTATGAGCTTCCGGAAAGAATGCAGATTTAAGTCACGTATTTCAAATGCTTTTTCTTTGGGGGATATGGTACAATGTTTTCAAGTGATTGGGCATTTGTTGTGCCTATCCCAATGACCCAAGGGTTCACGCATCTCTATTTTGTAGCCTTATCTCTAATAAAAAGGAGATTCATAAATGCCTTCATGTCCTTTGGTTAACGAGTGTTTGAATGTTATTGGAAGAATGAAATAAGAGGTTATTTGGTGAGAAAGAATTATCAGTTTTATAAATTTTAGTTCACATCAAAATTGTGGCTTAGTTATGGCTCAGGTCAAAAAAGAAAAACTTTTAACATGTATTAAATCTTTGGTGGTTCATCTCGTTAAGTTGCTTAGGGTGCATTTAGGGTGGCAAAACGGGCTTAGCATACTGCGTATGTCCGTTTTGTCCACACTTTAATGTGGGACAGTCCATAGATTTAAGTCCATCCTATAATGTGCTTGTCATAGTCATCATATTTTTTGAGGGTGGGTACATTAACATTTTTTAATGTATTTTTAGATTTAAAAAGTGCAGTGTTCGATAAAAGTTGTTTTTAAGACTTTTTTAAAAATCATTTTCGATACAAATACAAATTAAACACTTGGTTAACACACAAGTTCTTTTCCCGCACAATAAAAAAAACATTTCAAATTTTTTTTCATAACTAAATTGGTTGAAAAAGGATTGGTTTGGACGTAATATCCTCTCTTTTCTCCGAGTACTTGTATAATAATCGTTATTAGCTCACTGTTTAAGTACTTGTCTTCCGTTAAAAGCACGCTAAATAATCAAACTTAGTTGGCTGTATTGGATGAAAAAGGATTGGTTTGGACGTAATATCCTCTATTTTCCTCAAGTATTTGAATGTTAGTCGTACTTAGCTTGTTGTTCAAACACTTTTATTTGGTCTTACCGGTTGATCAGAACTTGAAAGCGGTCCGAAGGATGATGACGTCTACTAGGTTGAAAATCTGAGGAGAGGAGATGGGTGTACCTATAAGGCACTCTGATGTTAAAGTCAGTAGGAGCACAAAGAGATATAGGAACGAGGTTAGGGTTTTTAGATTAAATATTTGATACCTGGCCCTCACAAGTGTAAGGGTTTATATAATCCTCCAGTGTATAACCATTGGTTTCTATTTTTGGGTCTAGATATTTGGGTCCACAAAAATAGGTAACTGCAAGGACTTGGTCAAAACGGGAAGTCGTGCCCGTAATTAGTCGTTGCTTCGAGCAAGGGTGAGGTGACGAGCAGACGCGTCTCGAGTGTCTTATTGATTGTCTGTTCGACGAGTAGCGAGTAGACCCGAGATTGGTCGTTGATGTGGGCAGGCGCACGACTAGGACATCGTAATCCCTAATATTCCTGTGGTACGGTCGATCAAGTGTGCTCGTCAGGAGATCAGAGTTAGTGGACCAAAGCTGTTTGGGCCACGCAAAGGGTAAAAGCAGATTGAGATGATTCTAGTCATTGGACTAGTCCAGAGCATGAGCCCCCCAAGGCGTAGGAGTGATGACTTAGAGTCAGTCTGCAAAGAGTCGAGGATGCTCTAGGATGTGCTTGGGGTAACAACGTCAAGGAGCCCGAATATGGTCTTTTTGTGTTCGGCGTGCGGGGAGCCGAATGGTTGATTGGACTGAGGGGTAGTGTACCACACTTACATCGAGCCACGTGCTATCATAAAGGTGTAATGATGGCAAGTATAGGAACTAGAGCGTAATGACGATAACCCTTAGGTTCCTCTAGACGCGTGCTTGCTCACGCGCTAGCGAAGTTCGTCTATAAAAGGGAGAAATGAAGCTTTATTTGCACTTTTAGCTTACTCTTTCTCTGCTTGTCTCTGGTCTCTGCACGACACCGTCATTCTTCGCTGAATTTCTTTCTCTTTCCGTCGTTCACCGCTGTAATCTCTGCTAGTTCCGTCGTTAGTCTTCTCTAATCTGGTAAGTTTCTTGTTTTCCTTCTATTTTTGCCAAAAATTTTCCTATTTTAGGTTAGATTTTTTATTGTGATTCTAGAGATGCATGCGTTTAGGGGTAGATTAGTTATAGGTTGGACGACTCTCACTGGTTCTGCCACCTAGGAATGCTGGCTCCATCGCGAAGCTGTTTGGTATCTCTTGGTGGTAGGGTCGGTGATGGAGGTTTGTCATGAACTTTTCGGCGAAATTGGACTTGTAACACCCCATTTCTATCCGGAAGATAATAATAAAATCAGAGTTCACATAAATAGAATGCTACATTTTTCAACTTGAAATCAAACTTTATTTAATCGCATATAAAACAGATACATAATACTTAAATCAGATGAACTGATAACAACCTGATTTATTCTTTAAAATCAAACAACTTTTTATTGACAAGCAGCGGAATATACATATTCAACTTCAATTCACTTAACATTTTTATCCAACTAAAACAACTTTAGGACAACAGTTACTTCATGTAAACAACTTAAAGATTCAACAACAGAAATAATAATCAACAACTAAACATCAAGCGTTCATTCCCTTGAGTGCTACGTATCAGATTGACGACACCGACTCAGAGAAACGAGGTAACAACTATCCTTCTTGATTACCTGCATGTTACCAACAGAGGGAAACATTCAAACGGAAGGGGTGAGATATCGAACTATATAATTGAATGTATGATAATTAATATATCAGAATCAGTTCATATAAAATTACCAATTCACAACTTTCAAACATCTTTAATCTCAACAAAACATCAACACGACATAACAACTAATTCACAACCTTTAGGTGATACTAGTCACAACAAGTCAACAACATAAAGCAACAAAAAATCTATCTTCAACACGACTCAAGATGCAACATCAAATGCGACTCAATTACAGTGCACATGCATGTGGTACCATTGGAGCAGAACTCTCAACTTAAAAACATTTTCCAATAAATAGAGGCATCAACAAAGCATAAGCCTTCAACTTAATATTTCGCCAATCCAGGCCAACGTGGTGCCAATCCAGACCAACTTAATAATGCAAATGCATGTAACTCAATGAATGCAACAATCACATACAACAACAACAACAATCATCGTCACAAAGGCATAAGCCTATATCGTCACTATACCAATAATTAGAGGTACTCATCGTCGCTTCAACACTGGCCATAAGCCTACAACTTAATCAACTTATCAATCACAACATATTCAACAACAACAATGTATTCGACAATATTGGCATAAGCCTACAACTTAATCAACTTATCAATCACAACATATAAACAACAACATATTCGACATTGGCCATAGGCCTACAACATAATATTGCCCATAATTATTCGGACAATTCTCGACTATACCGGTTAACTACTTATCTATATGCTTATTTATAATTACAAAACTTCTACAAATTGTTATACTATAATACTACATCATCATTATCATTGATATTATTATTATTATTATTATGAACCAAGCATTATCATAAGATCGTCATGTCATCATCATACTTCATCACCACAAAACATCATAGTGATTCAAC